GGGGAGTATTATGCATAATCAACTTTTTTTTGCTTTATATCTTGTTGCAATGTCATTCCCTTATCAAAAACATACCCAGAGTGTTGCTTTGACTCATTCATGCATGTTTTAGAAATCCTTGAATCTCCTATGGTAGCCACGTGGATCTGCCTAAACAATTTCTGGTACAAAGCTCCGCCTTTTTGTACATTGCTCCGCCCTGGAGCTCAGTCTGCAGCCGAGCTTCTGCCCCACAGAGCATCCGTACCCTTAACCCTTTAAGCCCACAAGATTTTAGAAGATTTCCTTCAGTTGTCTCGTCGGCCCTGTACCGGGCCCGACAGGGCTTAAAAAGTTGCATTGTTATGATGACATGCTGAAGTGGAAGCGTCTGAAGCGGTAGGATGTTTTAAAGAGACAATTTCAAGGCATTCAGATAGGCTATGATGCTAAGTCGAATTTATTTAGGATATATACAGTATTTTCATAACAACTGAAGGTAACAGTTGATAGTGTGGTACAAAGTTGAACTGTGTGCCTGGAAAATACATAATACCCCCACCACCTCGTGCCACTTTTAAGGTAAGCGGTCTGTTGCAGTTATCTTAAATCAGGTTGACTCTAAAAGCCAGTCAGCTGTCCACGGATTTCCTTCTTTAAGTTTTATTACAAGCTGACTTGTAGTTCATGAAGTGTTTTGTTTACAGACAAAATATTGGCGAAACATTATTGCTCACCTTTGACTTCTGGCAATAGGCAGCAAAAATGTGTTCACTTCTAAAATGTTATGTGTACAATCATCTCCTGTTTAAGCTGTCTTCTGCCTTATGGTTTATCTTGTTTAGACGCTGATCCGTACCATTTTTAATTGGTTGTGTTTGGTAAAAATCCAAGCTAGGCAGTTGGCTTTGGTGAGAAGCTGATGGAGGCTCCTGCCAACACAGCAGAAATCCCATATGCCCAGACTGTCCACTCATCGTCTGTCACACTGCACCAGAGACGAGAGAACCTGGAAAAACAACTTTTGTATTCATGTTTAAGAACCAAAAAAATAAATAAATAAATTAAAAAAAGCTGAGAAATCAAACCACCCACAGATTATTGACTCATGTTTGGATACAGCAGGAAAGACGACACTTTGTATTTTATATAACACATTTTTACATTTTAGGTTTTGTTTAAGGTTTACTGTAAAACAGATGAATAAAGAAGTTTAGTTAAATATAAATTAAGGAAGGCAGGCAGCACAGGATCAGTTGGTAGAGCTGATGCCTCTCAGCAAGAAGGTTGCCAGTTCAAATCCCGGCCCCGGGACCTTTCTGGGTAGAGTTTGTATGTTTTCTCCGTGCATGCGTGGGTTCTATCCGGGTACTCCGGCTTCCTCCCACAGACCGAAAACATGGCTGTTAGGTTAATTGGTAACTCTAAATTGTCCCTAGGTGTGAGTGAGAGAGTGAACAGTTGTTTGTCTCTATATGTGTCCCTGTGATGGACTGGAGACCTGTCCAGGGTGTACCCCTCCCCTCACACTGTGACTGCTGGGCACCAGTGACCCACGCGACCCTGAAAGGAATAAGGRTGTACAGAAAATGGATAGATGGATAAATTAAGGAATGCATATTGCCCATCATCTTTCAGATATTTAGACGGAGGTCATCTCATGTTGTGAAATCAGAGTTATACTTTTTTTTGGTCAAATATTGCAAAAGCATTATGCACAATCTATTGTGATATTTTGAGATGTCACAGTGATTCTAAGCTACTACCACATCAAACTTTAGGTCAAGATCTGCTAAACTGACTGAGATTAAAGCCATTTTTGCATTGGTTAATGTTGATTAACTATGGCAGTGAGGTTGATATGGATTGACTCTAATAAGGAATCAGTTGTAGATGTTCATCCAGTGATTGCTTTCTGAAAGTTTGGTTTAAATCAATACAGTGGTACCATGAGATATTTTGCTAACAGACAAACAGGGTTGACTCCAACAATTAATGTTGAAGTTTTAGCAGTAAACGTGTGCTATAAGTAGCACCTTAAAGGGGCAGTATTATGTGTTTCTCAGGCATACATTTAAATACTATACTATAATAAAGTATCTGTGTCACCTTCAGTTGTTATTAAAATGCTGTTTTATGTTTAAATAGAAAATAAACTTATCTTCTCTTCACTTCCTCTTCTAAACGTCTTGAAATTGGCCTCTGTCTCTTTTTTGTC